TCATACTTCTACAAGTTTTGCTAGCCAGTTCCATTGGTCATTTAGTGTATTCCTGGTTAGCAAATATTAAAGCAACTACAAATACTTTACCGTATTACTTGCATGAAGTAAAAAATCACAGCTAATAGACTAGTGAATACGGCTTACTGCCTCTCGACGTCAAATATACATGTGAATAATATGGCCAACATATAATTTGATATAATTAAAAATATAAAATAGCAAAATATTCACTACTATTGCTGGACTGGCGAACTTTACAGCAACTGGTAATGCCTAGAACGCAGTTGTTTGATATTCATGGGTTAAGTAAAGTTAAGTAAACATGTATCTCCTATCAGATCAAGGTCCGTGGTGTCTGACAGCTCCATAGTTGTTTGTTCCCTAAGATGCCGTTTAAGCGCAGGGTTGAGTCCAGGATTAAGTAGCAGTGTCATACAATTAAAATCCAGTTTTCGAAAGGTTATAGGCACTTTAATAAACTGTAGCATACGAATCCATATTTTATGGTCTCTTACATTAGAGATCCATTTACATACAGTAAAGACAAAGAGCATAAGCCATTTACTTACGACCCGCGGGGTGCTCATGTTAGAATCGAAACATGGCTGATGTCGTTCGGCAGGTTAACATATGACAAGGATGAACAAGGTAGAAATAAATCTGCTTTCGGAAAGGAATTGTCCCTTCTTAGGTGCTGTAATTAGTACTGCCTTATAGCAAGAATTTTGAAAAGCTGGAGATGCAGTGGATATAAGAAGCCAATTATAACCTTCTACTTATGTGTGCGTTTTAAGGCGATGATTACATGAACACACAGCATATGTTACTTTGTTAGTTTTCCGGTACAGCTGCATTTTCACTTTCTGTGGTTCTCGGCGCATTCAAAGGTTGAATTACAAAGTCTCTAGTAATACACTATGAGCGTTTAAGCCAGTGTTAACTTCAGTAGAATGCTGTAACAGTTATATGAGACAGAATTAGCAATAATTTCCCTCATGAATGTTTGATTAATGAGTACAGTTAGCCCAACGTTTTCGATAGACGATATTAAGCCATTTGACCGTTGCATACTTTGTTCGTTTTGTCTAACATATGCTGCGATTTCTTATTGTAAATGTTCACATTCAATGTTGGCCGCTGCATAACTGGCATATATAGGAACGACTGTAGTTTAATCACGTTATGAGACTGAACGGTTAGTCACGAGAGAAAACGGTACTTGAAGACTTAATTTTGGGGGTTGAAATCGAGAGGAAGCAGGACAATGCCGATGATATATGTTCATTGGCTGAACATTTAAAAATTATCCAAATCATGAGAATAGGACAACGGTGAAATATATAAGTGGTTCGGAATAGTGCTCATGGCACGCGTTGCATGAACAGATGATGAGAACTGATTATGATAACGAGCGCACTGATGATCTTGATTTCGATCATGATTATGACGATGAAGCTAATGGGGGAGGTTTAGAGAAGACAAATAGAATAAGAATATCATGAAAGGAATGGGGAGGGGGAAGTAGACGATACAAAACATTTCAGTCGCTTTACAAAAGACTCTTGAGGCGTGCAGATGCGCCCCGAACCTGTTACATAGCGAATAATTTCCTTCGTAAAAATAATCGATTTATTTGTTAATCACGCCATTCTGTGGCTGCTGTCTTGTCATCGCTGTTTCTAAGCCCGTGGGCAATTGCTACTACAGTTTTCAGAAACGTAGAGCGAATTAGGCCTTTTGACGCCAACGTTACCTGCTGTTCAAAGAGTAGATGACATAAAAAATGATTCGACCATGTTTTCTTTGGGAATTGCTAATGACCACTATCGAACGTTCTAATTTTCCATCCACTGGTGGCCATTGTATCGTTTGATGACCATTTAAAGATTTTATGCCTGTACCTCCTAAAGGTACACTGTAATTTACATCTTTCGCTTCATATTCATCCCGTATAGTGAAACTAGTGATGAAGGAGAATAGCATTTCGGATTGAATTTATTTTCCTAACTACTCCTAGTAAATTGACCAATCTTATGGCTTTCTGCCAGGTCGGTTTCTTTATACAGATCATGATACAAGAGATCAGAAGGTTTATCCACATACCTTGTTCTGTGCGTTCGCGGCGTCAGTCACATGTCTCGCTCTCTCAGCGTAACCACACCAGGGTGCCACTCTTGCTGATGAACCTATCAATCTTTTGCTGCTGATTTGATTAGACATCTTTCGATAAAATTCACCGGTTCAAAGAAATTAGCAGATTCACACCCCGGTGTAGAAATCGAACTCGATATTGTATTGGCATTCAGGATGAAGTTATGCGATGTCTGTCACTCCACAGGGATTGTGACGGAAACACACTAACGGAAAGAACTCAGAACTTGTGACTAAAGCGTAGAAGCCTCTTCAGTGTCCACAGTATCCTCATTAATTTTACGTTTTCTTGGAAGTCTTGATATTTGTGCATGACTCAGTCATGGGTTGCACCTGACTGTTGTTTGTTCGGTGACAAATGGCTGCGAACTGGTGACTGTCGACGACGCATTTAAAGGGCAGCTGTAATGACACGCAAGAACTCGTTTCCGACCGGCGACCTGTTTACGCAAATTCTACCAATCAGCGTCGGTGAAATCATCTGTTGTCGACGATAGAAAAAGCCGAGTGCTGGCATTCTATTGTTGGCGAAGTACGGGGGACTTTCCGTTCATAACTCCAAAGTATTAATTATTCGTAAAATTTTCCTGCAGTCTGGCCTG